GCTCCACCCCCCGTTGGGAGCGCGCGCGCCCCGCCCCCCGCAGTGAGGGAACAATGAGATGATCACGCGCTGCCCCAGAGCTGGCGCTTCTGCGCCCTCCCAGGACCTCGTCCCGCAGCCGGCATGTCGAGTGCTTTAGGCCCTTAGTGTCCTCCCGCAGGGCGCCTAGCAGCTTGGGGCAGGTGGCCACCAGCCCTTCTAGGACCCTGGGGGTTGCGAACCGCTGTCCTAGGGCCCAAGGGAGTTGGAGGTGTTAGTGGCTGGGGGGGGGGGGGGCGGGGGAGGTCGCAGCCTGCAGGAGAAACTGCGCCGGGGTTGCGGGACTGGGTTTGGGGTAACATGTAAATAAAAGATGAATCGAATAGGAGGTCCCGGCTTTCAGCAAATGGACACACATACCTGGTTCTTACAAAGGATTTCCCGTTTTCATCTGACTCAGCCAGACAGAAACCTTAATATAATAATACGCACGGTTTTCCACCATCTCCAAAAAGGTCTTCTGCAGAAGTCAAAGCCATAATTTACCCCACACGCACATTAACTTCTCTTCCTTTACAATTTTAAAAGTTGAAACCTAAATTCTAAGGGATAGGGCGATAATGTAACACTGTGTCCCGGAGCAAGTTGCTTCACAGCTGTGGGTCTCAATTTCCTGATCTGTAAAAGGAGTAGGGTAGACTGCATAACCCTGTGAAAGCCCCAACTCTTTTTTATAAGAAGTGTTTGATAACGAGCCCTTTAATTATACTCCAGTAAGAAATCATAGATACTAAAACCTACCTACACACAATTTCCAAAAGCAAGACATAACGGTAATATTCCGACAAGCAAAATGACTACAACAAAACAACATGTACATTAACATGTAAATGCCCCCACATAAGGACACTAAATGACAATAGTTACCTGCATGACGTAGTTACCTGCCCCAATGCGGACTGGAAAGATGTATTGTTTTCACAGCTCAAGTACCTTAAGCTGTGCTGCTGTTGGTGACATCCGATTCCCAAAATGGTTAACTCTCTAACATTTGAAACAAAAATCGTCTCCTCTTCCTGCGATTGATACAGGAGTTGCCTTTGTGGAAGGAGTCTGTGTGTAAGAACTGGGCAAAAATACTTTGTATTATTTTGTACAACAGTTCTGAGCTTAGGGATGATTAGCTAGTTTTTCACCCATCTGAGTGTCCTATGTATCAATTTTTCACTGTATGGGACAGTCCAGTATAGCAGTACACCTAGCATGCCTGATTCCTGCCCACCGAATGCCAAAAATAGCCCTCGCCTTTGTAGCTACCAAAAATACACAGATTTCCACTGTATTCCAATACCCTTTGGAGAATCCCTAGGCTTCATGATCATTAGGATCCCTTCCTGCTCTGAGATTTGTGGATTCTCAGGGAGCATAGGTGAGTTATGTTCTGGGTTTCGCGTCAGTTTCCTTTTCATATAAACCAGGGTAAACAGGAATCCAAGATTTGAAAGCGAGCTCTGATGGCTCTTCAAACTGCATACAGCCAGACGAGAGTACTCCTTACCCTGGTCCTCAGCTTTGTTTTGCTTTTGAGTAAGCCAAGGTACAGGATACTGCTGTGGGAGTACCTAAAAGAATGAAAATGTACAGCAGTCCCCTATTTTCAATTAACCCCTGCTCGCAGGCATACTCAGTTCAAACCACCAGGGTGTTCTGTTCATCAATATGTTATAATTGGAATATCAGATTGGAGAGGAAGCAGGGAAACCTACAAAGCCTTGTCTTCAGACACATACACTCTGCAAAAAAAGAGCGCCGTGCACACTTGAGGCAGCTCGGAAGGACCTTTTCCATTAAGCAGTCATTTACATGTCTTCTCCACATGGTAATCAGTTGCAAATTTTATTTGAAGTGACCTAAAAAGGGTTAGAAAAGTCTGGAAACCAGGGAGATGTCTTTGGCATGCTTACTTTCTTAAGTTCCCAGGCATTTTAAGTGCCCATATTGAAGCAAATATGCTATCTGTACCACCTCCCCGCCTCCATCTCTGAAGGCAGGCGGGTACGCAGGCGCCTAGGAGCTACAGTTCTTCAAACTAGCAGTTCGGCTCCCTGCTGTCTTGCTTACCAGCTGTGTGACTGGGGACAACTCACTTTTCTTTCCTTTTTTTTTTTTCTTTTTTCTTTTTTAACGTTGTGTATTTCTTTTTTTTTTCTTTTTCTTCTTCTTCTTCTTCTTTTTTTTTTTAGAATTACTTTATTCATTGTCATTTTCTTTTTTGAAGTTAACCAGAGAGAGGCAGAGAGAGAGAAGGAAAGTGAGAAGGGAAGCTGTCAGGTCCGGGACTCGAACCACAGTCAGCCATGTGGTAATCCAGCCCCTTTAACCACCATGCCATCTGCAGGTCCCGGTTTATGTATTATTTATTTCTTCCACAAGTGAGACAGAGAGGTTAGCACCCCAACAGGGTCTTGACATGATCCACTGCCAACCTCAGACACCCTTGGGTAATGGATGTTCGCGTACCTGGCACACTTAGGGAAGTCTCCAGATGCAAATCCAGAACTTTCCCGTGTGGGTCCATCTCACAGAGCATTGGTGTTTTGCTGCTGTGCCACCTTGCAGACCCTGACCGTTCCGTGACATCTCAGCACCTCAAATTCCTTATCTGTAGTTGGAATAAAAGTAGTTTCTGTCTTGGGCCAACAGGTGGCGTAGGGGTTAAGGCACTGAGTCCCAGACCCCGTGGCTTGAAAATTATACCGGGCACTTGTGCATGCGTGTTCGTGTCCAGAATCCGGAGAGGAGGAGAATGGAGAAGGGATTGCAGTATGGCCATCCTCCCCTGGGGGTGATTTCTCACTTTCTGTCTCTCTCTGGTGCGGGTACACAACTTATGACAAAAAAAGAAAGAAAGAAAAGAAAAGAAAAGAAAAGAAAAGAAAAGAAAAGAAAAGAAAAGAAAAGAAAAGAAAAGAAAAGAAAAGAAAAGAAAAGAAAAGAAAAGAAAAGAAAAGAAAAGAAAAGAAAAGAAAAGAAAAGAAAAGAAAAGAAAAGAAAAGAAAAGAAAAGAAAAGAAAAGAAAACAGGACAGCCCCGTGCCCCCCCGCCGCCACCGCCGGGACTCCCGGGCCAGCCCTCGCTTCTTTATGTGGCGCCAGGCACTCCGAGCTCGAGAACTTTTTTTTCTTTTTTTTGGAGAGGTTTTTGCTGTAGGGCGCGTGCTCTCGGCAGACAGACACAGACAGACAGAAAGCGAGAAATCACTCGGCAGACAGACAGACAGAGAGACAAAAAGCGAGAAACCCCCCCCCCCGCAGATGCCCACGCTCCAACCCCTTCTCCTCCATTCTCCTCTCGGGACCTTGGGCACGCACCCGCACGCGCCCGGCGTGAGTTCTAAGCCACCGGGTCTGGGACGCGAACTGCAGTCGACTACTTGGGAGTCCAGCGACACAGCCATTACGCTAACTGCTGGTCCCCTGAGCTCTAGAACTTCTAACACCACCGTGGTGGACGAGTTGGAGTCGTCTTTCGAGGCTTGCTTCGCTTCACTGGTGAGTCAGGACTATGTCAATGGCACCGATCAGGAGGAAATTCGGACGGGTGTTGATCAGTGTATCCAGAAGTTTCTGGATATTGCAAGACAGACAGAATGTTTTTTTCTTAAAGAAAAGGTTGCAGCTGTCTGTGCAGAAACCGGAGCAGGCTATCAAAGAGGACGCGTGGGAGCTGAGGAACGAGCTGCAGCACAAGGACGCACTGGTGCAGAAGCAACTGGCCGAGCTTCGGCCCTGGCAGCAGGTGCCGCCGGCCCGCAGGGCTCACTGGCCTACCTGGAGCAAGACAGACAGAATGTTTTTTTCTTAAAGAAAAGGTTGCAGCTGTCTGTGCAGAAACCGGAGCAGGCTATCAAAGAGGACGCGTGGGAGCTGAGGAACGAGCTGCAGCACAAGGACGCACTGGTGCAGAAGCAACTGGCCGAGCTTCGGCCCTGGCAGCAGGTGCCGCCGGCCCGCAGGGCTCACTGGCCTACCTGGACCTACCTGGAGCAGGCGTCCGCCAACGTCCCCGCGCCTCTGAAGCCGAGCTGAGCGGCACAGAGCCCAGCCTGGCGTGTGTGTGTGTGTGTGTGTGTGTGTGTGTGTGTGTGTATGTATGTATGTATGTATGTATGTATGTATGTATGTGTGCGCGCATGCGTGGTGGCCACAGGACTGCTTGGTCCCGCGGTGTGGCGCCACCTTGGACGGCCTCTAGAGAATCAGGCAGTTCCCACTTTAAAACTTCCCCCTATTTTCAAAAGCTAATTTTTTGAGCATTTCATACAATACTTAACACTTTTCGAAAACCAAGTAAATGTTTACCTCTTTGGCGAAAAAAATAAAAATAAATAAATAAATAAAAACATAGTTGGTGGGACCAGTAGGTGGCGTTGTGGTTAAGGGCGTTGAACTCCTACATGGCTGACCATGGTTTGAGTCCCAGACCTGGCGACTTGCTTTCTCGCTTTCTCTCTCTCTCTGTCTCTGGTCAAATTTAAATAAATTAATTAAGTAAATGAAGTTAAATGAAATAATTCTTTATTAAAAAAAAAAAGATGATCGGGAAAGCGCTCGTGCATGACAGTGTTTGCAGGAGTAAGCGCTCAATACGTGGTGGCCGTGTAACACATACATGTCTATCTCCCCATCGTCTCTAGCCCCCCCAGAGGAGGGAGTGGTCCCCACTGTTGGAACCTCCACTCTAACACCGTGTGGTATTGTGTGTGAGCCCACAGAGGAGCCGGAACTTGCTATGGTGGAGGACATGTGAAAAATACAAACGGCTGCCTTGGGCCCGCTGTACTGTGGGGCAGGGTGGGGGGGTCTAGAGCCATTGTTCTCCTTCCACAGATGGCTTTAAGCAAACGTTGTGAGGCTGGCCACATAGTCTTGTGCTTAAGGGAGCCAGTTTCCACATGGTCGATTGCAGTTCGAATCCTGACCCCGGAGGCTTGAAAAACACAGTGGTCACGTGTGCATGTGGGCCCAAAATTCCAACAGGATAGAGAAATGGAGGGATTGTGGCATGACCATACCGGGCACGTGTGCGTGTGTGCCCAAAATCCCAGAAGAAGAATGGAGAAGAAGGGTTACAGTATGACCATCCCCCTCTGGGGGTGAGTCCTCACTTTCCCTCTTTCTCTCTCTCTGCCTCTCTCTGTCTCTCCCTTCTCTGGTGTGCACATGCACCCTATGGCAAAAATCTTTTAAAAATAAAAACAAAAAAAAAAAACAAAGCAATCTGGGTTGGCAGGTGGCGTGGTGGTTAAGGGTGCTGTGTCAGGTGGCGTGGTGGGTAAGGGTGCTGGACTCCTACATGGCTGACCGGAGTTTGAGTCCTGGCCCTGGCTGTTTGCTTTCTCTCTCTCTCTCTCTCTCTCTTCTCTCTCTCTCCCTCCCTCCCTCTCTGGTCAAATTAAAATAAAATAAATGAATAAATAAATAAAGTTAAATTTTTAAAATTGTTTTAAAAAATCAAACCAAAGAAAAAGACGTGATCTCATTACTACTCTCTGAGACTGAGCTAGCCCCAAATCACATTATTGCGCTGCACATAAATAACACGCCCAAGTAACCCAAAGGCACAAAGATAATTGTACTATCCCACTGCTAAAAGGAAACGAGTAGTTAAGGGGTTTCTGAGAAAGGAAGCTCAGAGAGCATTCACAGTTGCCAGTCATTTTTCTGCAAGGGCCCCGGGGAAAGGGCCTCCTAGGTCCAAGGAACCCAAAACTACCCTTTTGTAGGGATTGGGAGTAAAGTTCAAAGAGGGTGAAACTTCCCTGTAATCAGAAGCCAAAGGCAGCCCCCTTCTCAGTCTCCTTTTATGTTTTAAAGCATAGTAGGCTTTTTAGATTTGTGTGTGTCTAGGGCTTCAGATAAAGCAGATTATCAGGTAATTTACAATAATTACGAAAGGTTCCCATGAAGGCTGGTAAAAGTTCTAAAGGGAACGGACCAGTAGATGGTGTAATGGCTACGTCACTTGAGTCCCATATAGTCGACCACGGTTCAAGTTCCGGACCAGGTGGCTTAAAACTCACGCTGGGCGAGTGTGCGTAAGAGCCCCAGAGGAGAATGGAGGAGAAGGGATTGCAGCGTGGCCATCCCCCCTGGGGGGTGATTTCTCTCTTTCTCTGTCTCTGTCTTTCTGCCTAGCGCACACGCCCTATAGCAAAAAACCCTCTCCCTCCCCCCCCCAAAAAAAAAGTTGTAAAGGGAAAAGAGGAGATCTTAGAGTCTAAGATATTGCTGCACACCCTTCTTTAAGGGTGAGGGCTGGTACAGACAACACGCAGAAACTTTTAGACAATTATTAAACCACAAAACAGCAGAGCTAGCCTGGAATCGGCTTTCCTTCCACAAAGATAGCAAGACCAAAAATAGTACTGCATTGGCCCGCCAGTGGCATGGTGGTTAAGTGACTGGATCTCACATGCCCAACTAAGCAGTTTGAGTCCCTGACCCAGTGGCTTGAGAAACACGTGGCGTGCATGTGCATGTGTGCCCCAAAATCTCATGAGCACAATGGAGGAGAAGACGTTGCAGTGTGGTCATCCCCTTGGGGAGTATTTTCTCACTTTCTTTCTCCTTCTCTCTGGCAAGCACACATGCCCTAGAAGAAACTAAAAAAGCAAACAAAATAGTGCTATATCAAAGGGCACCTTCTCTCTACCACTGAAATTGCTAAAAAAAATGTTGGGGCCAGCAGATGGTGTGGTGGTGAAGGTGCAGGATTTCCACATGGCCAGCTGAGGTTTGAGTCCTGGACCTGGCAGCCTGAAAATCACACTGGGTGTGTGTGCATGCATGCCCCCAAATCCCAGGAGAATGGAGGAAAAGAGATTGTAGCATGGCCATCACCCCTGGTGGGGGAGGTGGTGGTGGTTTCTTTTCCTTTTTTTTTTGGAAAGGTTTTTGCTATAGGGCGCGTGCGCTTGCCAGAAACACAGAGAGAGACAGAGAGACAGAAACCCCCCCCCCCCAGAGGGGATGGCCACGCCACAATCCCTTCTCCTCCATTCTCCTTTCGGGATCCTGGGCACGTACGCACACGTGCCTGGTGTGAGTTTAAGCCATCGGGTTCGGGACTCGAACCGCAGTCGACCACATGGGAGTCCAGTGACATAGCCATTATGCCAATTGCTGGTCTCTGGAGGGGGTGATTTCTCACCTTCTCTCTCATTGTCTCTTTCACTGTCTCTTTCTCTCTCACAGTCTCTCTCTGGAGAATGCACACATCCTATGGTGAAACCCTTTTTTAAAAATTGCTTAAAATATTTTCAGGGGACAAGTGGTTCGAGTCCTAGCTTGAAACTCAGGCTAGGTCTATGTGCATGCTCGTCCAAGATCCCAGGAGGAAAACAGAGGAGAAGGGTCATCCTCTCTTGGGGGTGATTTCTCACTTTCCCTCTCACTGTCTCTTTCACTGTCTCTTTCTCTCTCACAGTCTCTGTCTTTCTCTCTCCAGCAAGCACATGCCCCCTAAGGCAAAACCTTCTAAGAAAATTAAATAATATGTTTGCAAAGAGAGAAGCCCAGTGCTAAGTGAGCTTGTACTACAAGGAACAGATAATAAGGAAACCTTGGACAGAAGCTCTGAACTGGAGGGTAGGGGGCGAGGAGGCTGCCTTGCCTAGGGTGAGAAGAAGGGGAGCCTTACAAGTACAGTGAGAGGAGTCACGTGCCCTCCCAGCCCGAGCTGTGTCTTAGGTAATAAGGGCTTTTTTTTTTTGGAGAGGATTTTGCTATAGGGCACGTGTGCTCCCCAGACAGAGAGAGAGAGACAGAGAGACAGAAAGCGAGAAATCTCCCCCCAGGGGGGATGGCCACGCTGCAATCCCTTCTCCTCCATTCTCCTCTCGGGATCTTGGGCGCACATGCACACGGGCCTGGCATGCGTTTAAGCCACCAGGTCCAAGACTCGAACCGCGGTCGACTACATGGGAGTCCAGCGACATAGCCATTACGTTAACTGCTGGTCCCAGGTAATAAGGGCTCTTCTAGCAGTAACTCTCACCGGTGATGAGAGCTTGAAGCCTGGCCATGACCTCACAGATGGGACTGAGTATGGGTCCTGTGTTGGAATTACATACTCTGCAATTGATAAAACGAATTCACTCTTT